TTTATTTTCTTTGTGTTGAGGTGTAATACACACCAAAGGTTGTAATCTTTGATCTTCATCAGTAAGTGCTTCAAGTTTTCACTTATAGCAAGGAAGTTGTGTCGTTTGCATATTGCAGGTTGTTAATGAATCTTCCTCCAATCTTGATGCCATGATGTTCTTCAAATAGCCCAGTTTCTCTGATTACTTGCTCAGCATACAGATTGAATAAGTATGGTGAAAGGACACAACCCTGATGCACACTCTTCGTGATTTAAAACCATGCAGTATCCCCTTGTTCTGTTTGAATGACTAACTGCCTCTTGGTCTCTGTACAGGTTCCTCAGGAACACAATTAAGTGTTCTGGAATTCCCATTTTTTTGCAGGGTCAGAGAACAAGCAAACTTTGCCAGAACATCCACTCATATACTGGGTTCCACACCTGCAAGAAAACCCTTCTTCCAACTGATTGGCTGCTCAAATCAGATCACAAAATGGAAGGTGAGAACATAGTGTCTGAAAAGTGCTAAGAACAGGCAGCCTAGCCAAGTTGACACATAATATTAACCATCACAGTCCTGTTCTTCATTTTAAGTGCTACATATTATTCCATTGTAGAAAATCACAATATAGTCATCCAATCTCTTGTTAGTGAAATTTAGGTTCTCTCTACTGTTACAAACAATGCACTATGAATATATCTCCTTGTGCACTCGAATGGAAGACCCTTTAGGGCAACTTTCCTTAGCTAGGGTTTTGCAAGAGAATTAAACCCTAATGCTAAGACATTCACTGTGTATAATGAATTCACTTATCTCCCAGGGATCTAGAATAGTACTAACTCTAGAATGGTGCCATCCTTGGGAGAATTGAGAAAACAGTCACTCGAATAATTTTGTGTAGGGCTTAATTCACTGATAGAAATTTGATATTGAGGCTGCTCTAGAGTGTATCTCAACGGCACATAACAACAACTAGAGTGTATACCTAAGGAGTTCTGGTGGTGTAGTGGTTAAGGCATTTGGCTGCCAACCAAAAGGTTGGTGGTTCAAATCCACCAACTGCTCTGTGAGAGAAAATAAGGCAGTTAGCTTCCAAAAAGATTTACAGCCTTGGAAACCCAATGGGCATCACTATGAGTTTAAATCAACTTGATGGCACTGAGTAGAGTGTATACCTAGAAGTGGAATTGCTATATTTGAGGATAGACAGTTGTGGTAGAAATCATTAGCTTCCACCAAAATCTGTTCTTCCCATCTTCCACTGTAACAAGGTTATACTAACTTGTTGCTGTCGAGTCAGATCCAACTCATAGCGATGCCTCCTTGGGTTTCCAAGGAGGGGTCACTACAGAAGTAGATCGCAACATCTTCCTTCTGAGGAGTGGCTGGTGGGTTTGAACCTCCAGCCTTCTGGTTAGCAGTCAAGTGCCTTCGGCACTGAGCCACCATAGACAGTTCTTTAAAAGAGCACAATGCTCAAGATAGACATTTGTTACTAATTAAGCTAAAGTACTGCTTGTTTTAAAGAAACTTCAGGGGATATTTTTGGTTTAAGGTTTAGTGATCATCTCAGGGCAATGGTTGCAGGCATTCATCCAGTCTCAACAGCATCAGAAAATCTGAATTCCATAAGAATTTGAAATTCTATTCCACATTTTTCCCCCTTTTGATCAGGATTCTTCCATAGAATCTTTGATCAAATTATTCAGTAATGTTAGGTGGGAACCATCTGGTTTGTCTTGTCTCAGGGCAAAGGAGCCAGTTGTTTCTGGAGGCAATTATCCACACATTCTATTTCCTCCTATTCCTGATTCTCTTTCTGTTGCTTCAGGCTAATAGACACCAATTGTTGAAGTTTGGAAGGCAAAAATTTTCCAAGCCTTTGAGACTTCAGACACTATGCAATGCTCTAGGAGATAGACTAAGAAGTAAACATGTTATTAGGCCAATTAACTGGGATGTCCCATGAAACCATGACCCTAAATCTCCAAACCAAGAAAACAAATTGCACAAGTTTGATTTTATTTGAGCAGCTTCAGCAGTTGCTCTTCTTTTTCTTGCTATTATTGTAGAAAGAAAATTTGCCAATTCAACTTTTTACAGGTATATAACTTAGTGAAGAAAGACTAGGCAGTCTACTTCCGTAGTGATACAGCCTTGGAAACCCAAGGAGGAGTTGCTATGAGTTGGAGACGACTTGATGGCACATAACAACATCAACAACTTAGTGATAACAATTACTTATTTGTAAGCCGCTGAATCTAGGAGCTCTGGTAGCATAGTGGCTAAGGCACTTGACTGCTAACCAGAAGGCTGGCAGTTCAAACCCACCAGCCACTCCTCGGAAGGAAGATGGGGCAATCTACTTCCGTAGTGATACTGCCTCGGAAACCAAAGAAGGGGTTGCTATGAGTCCGGGCCGACTCGATGGCATATAACAACAACAACATCTGAGGTCTAGGAGTCATGGTGTTGCAATGGTTAAGCCTTTGACTGCTAACCCAAATGTAAGTGGTTCAAACGGTGTCCAGGGAGAAAAGACCTGGTGACCTGCTGCCGTGAAGATTTCAGCCTATGAAACCCTATGGGGCAGTTCTACCCTGTCCTATAATATCCTTATGAGTAAGAATCAACTCAATGGCTCACCACAACACTTGTGGTCTAACAGTATAGCCTATTTTCAAAAACCTACAAATTGGGCCAAATTGTTCTTTAATGTGATTCTGTCAATTTACACACTACCAGCAATGTATGAGGCATACTGTTTCACCAAATCCTTGACAGCAGTTGGTGCTGTCAAATTTTTATGGTTTCCTATCAGGTGGGCAGGAGCTCTGGTGGCATAGTGCCTAAGGCATTTGACTGCTAACCAGAAGTCTGGCGGTTCAAACCCACCAGCTACTCCTCAGAAGGAAGGTTGGACAATCTACTTCCGTAGTGAAACCACCTTGGAAACCCAAGGAGGAGTTGCTATGAGTGGGATATGACTTGACGGCAGTGAGGTTTGTTTGTTTGTTTGTTTTTAAAATCAGATGGGCGTAAAACGATACCTATTTGCTTACTGCTATTCTAATTTTCATGTCCATGGTTATCAGTGACTCTTCATATTTTAGTAGCCATTCAGGTTTCTTTCTGTTCATATTATTATTTTTTTTTCCATTTTCTTATTGCATTGTGTTATGAACTTAGGAGTGCTATTCTCTAACTCTCAGGCATAAACCAATAAACCAAACTCACTGCCCTTCAGTCAGTCCTGACTCATAGCAACCCCTCCTTGGGTTTCCCAGGTGGTATCACTATGGAAGTAGATTTCTCAACCTTCCTTCCAAGGACTGGCTGGTGGGTTTGAACCGCTAGCCTTCTGGTTAGCAGTCAAATGCCATAATGCAGGACTGTTTGCATTTTTAAATAATATTTATGTTTTGTTATGTTTTTTACTTAAAAACTTCAGTGATAATTTGTGATTTATCTTTTCCCTTTATGGTGTTTTGTACAGAAAAATTTTAATTATTTGTTCCTGTATCTTGTTTAAGAAGCTCTTCCCTACTCCTAAGCTCATAAAGATATTCTATATTTTCTTCTAAAACTTTTAAAGTTTCCCTTCCGTAGCTAGGCTTTCCATCTACCTGGAAATGACTTTTCTGTGTGTTATGATGTGGGAAACCCTGAGGGCTTCTTCTTTTTTTGTTTTTCCCCCAATATGAATAACCAATTTCTCCAGCACTACTTACTGAATCTTTTTCCCTTCCCCACTGATTCGTAGTTCTGGTAGCATAGTGGCTAAAGCACTTGACTGCTAACAGAAGGCTGGCAGTTCAAACCCACCAGCCACTCCTCGGAAGGAAGGTTGGGCAATCCTACTTCCGTAGTGATACTGCCTCGGAAACCCAAGCGGCACATAACAACAACAACAAACTTATCTGTAATGTTTTCTTTGTCACAAATCAAGTTTACATATATGTATGACTGTTTCCAGGTTCTTTATTCTGTTTCATTGGTCTATTAATCCATCCTTGTGTAAAAGCACACTGATTAATTACTTGTATTGTGTGTGATACATTAGTGTACTGTACTGGATAATCATAATACTTGCCCATAGGGTTGTTATGGAAATTAAAAGATACTGGAATTGTATGTAAAGCATCAGGTACAGCAGGTAGGTAGTCTTTAGCTTGTACAAACACTACGCTCTCACTCTCTGCTTAGCTGCTAATGGAAAGGTTGGATATTTGAGTCCAACCTGTATAGCATAATTCTACTCTGATACACATGGGGTTGCCACTAGTCAGAATCAACTCAATGGCAATGGGATTTTACTGGTATACAGTTAAGTATGCACTAAACAGAAACCTTTATGTTATGATGATGTTGATGAAGCGCAGAGAGAAATTAAACAATTAACCTCTCTAGGTACCTCAGTTTCATTTATAAAAAGAAAGCGGTGGGTTAGCATACCGTTTCTAAGGCTTTTGTCACTTTTAAAACTGTTATCCTAGCATTTTATTATCTACAGACCATACAGCATATTACATGAGAGGCATCTGGGATAAAAGTGAGAGAGGCAATATCTACGCAGAGTGCAGGGTCTGATCATGAGCAAGCAATCGCGAAACGTTAAGTGCCACAGCAGATAAGATTTGGGGATGGCTGGGAGTGTGGACGACTCTCCTTAAGGCAGATGCCATAATGATGACCATCACACTGTTTACTGGTACATAAGCACCGCACACCGTAGGGACCGCCCTGCCCACGATCACAGGACTACAGTCTACCCTTCTGGCTGCCCACTGAGACACACGACCTCAGAGAAGATTCCAGACCCATTCACTGAAGCACCGGGAAGGACACAGCAGAGCCGGGACCGCGGTGGAAAAGAGGCGCAGTCAGCACCTCCTCCGGGATTCCCACGGTGCTTCCGGGATATGTAGTCTTTTGCCACGCATGGAGTCTTAGACTCCTGGAAGGCGAACTACAATTCCCTTCAGTCTTAGGGACTCTTTGTGTAGCGCGCCTGCGCGATGTGGCGGCCGATGCCGCTATAAAGGCTTGTTTTGCTCAGGGGCTGATGCTCCGGAGCGTGGTGGAGTGGCCGGTGCGGCCCTGCGGGAGCTGGGGCGCAGGTAGGTAGCAGCTACCGCTGCACCCCTTTCTTCTTTCTCGGTTGTCATTGAGATCGCCCCCGTGTGTTTCCTCGGTATGTGGTTGAGGATGTGGTCAGGGGTACGATCTGTTCCGGGGAAGCCAGAGATCTGAGAAATGGATCTTGGCCTCTCTCTGCTCTTCGTTCTCCTTCTGAACCACTGTCGCCTCCTGCTCGGAATGCGACCCGCAGAGGCTCGTGGAGAGGTCCTTGCATCGGAAGGCAGGCAGGATTGAGATGAGTGGTCAGGGGTGCTCGCTACATTCCCGGATGAAGCCACCAGGGGGTGCTGCGCTCGCAGCCCGTCTGTGTAGGTCCGTTTTGCCTCGCCGGGCTCGAACTGGAGGTGGGAACGCCCTAGGAATAGGTCATCTTGGGATAAACCAGCCAGAGAGAAGCCCCGGTCCTCAAAGTTCGGGGCAGGGCAGTGCGGAGCACCCTCGCTCAGGCCGCAGATCCGAGACTCTGAGATGCCAGCAACCTTAGAAGTCATCCCCCTGTTTTGCAAATGGGTAAAGGGAGGTGCGTGACATAAGCACGCACAGCAAACCTGTGGCAGAGCCTGGACTGGACCTAGATCTCCTGTGATCCAATGCCCTTTCTGCTTTCACCACACAACCGCATGTTGCTCTGTATTTATTATAAGGTGTCAGTTGGTTTCTGCACAGACGGCAGGAATGACTTTTCTCAGTTTCAGAAGATTTTGAAGAAGATGAAGGTTATATCGAGGTCTCCAGCGAGAGTAAGTGAAAGATGCTGAATCTTGGAGGCGCAACAAGTGGGTTGCAGGAGGAGTGATAAATAGGACCGACTCCCTCGTATTACAGTATGTCCTCTTAGCTTCAGGTTCCTGCGCAGCTTCAGGGCTGGGAGGGAGATACCTGAGTCTCAAAAACCTATTAAGGAATGTTATAATGAAGGCAATTTGGAAACACCAGTCTGGCCAGTTGCGGTTCTTGTAATCGCGTGCGTCCCCTCCCCACTGCAGTTTAGTCTGCATTATCCTGCAGGCAGAACGTCTATACTCTTATCACCGGATGGAGAGTCTTGATTTGAAAAAAAAAAAAAGGCAACTAACCCAGTGGCCTCAACTCTCTTAATCTCAGGGTCTGGGCACTTCTTTGGGGGTTCTTCCACTGTGATTATTCTCTTGCTGCCATCTATAGCTCAGGGCCCAAAATAAATAAAAAATACCTTCCCTTGTTTCCTCTTTTGGTAGCTTAGGCAATCCAGCATTTTAAAAAGACTTAAAAAACAAACAAAAAAACTTTAAAGGAGAACAGAAGAAAATAGGGAAATACAAATAGGAAAAAAAAAAGTCTAACTTGTTTCAGGTTTGGGCCTTGGTTCTTTCCAAGACCTGTGGACTTCTAGCTCTTCCCTGTCTTGTATCCTTGATATGCAGGAGAAGGTATCCTTCTGTTCAAGGCCAAGAGAATGTAACTTTGTGCATACTCAGGGTCTGCATACTCATAGCTGTGCTTCTTTCCCCAGGAAATTAGAGACGGGTGTTAGAGGTGATAGAAAACTGCTCCCCACACCTTGCATACATGGGGTAGCTTGGTCTCTTAGGCCCAAATGTTTCTCATTATCTTACCATACCAACCACAGTAGGCACAAGGCAGTAATTCTTTGCATTGTAACAGGGAAGTCATTTCATCCCTGCCACTCTCTGCTCATATGCTCTACTGATTCTGCTCTATTGTTTGAAATAAAGTGATCAAAAGAAACCGTGGTTAGTTCTTAGGTGATTGAAATGGTTTCCGTATTTTTCCTGACATGGCATTTGTTTTTTCGATTTGGCATCTTCCCTTGCAAGTAGCCCTCCTTTTTAAGTAGGACTGATCTCTTCCAGATAACCAACTAGGCTAGGGAACCTTTAGAGAGTAAGGTTGGACTTCCCTAATCCCTGTAATAAGGATTACTCTGATATGCAGCTTGACATTGGGGACACTGGCAGATGCCAAATCTGTTTATACCAAAAATAACCCAAACTCACTGCCATTGAGTCAATCTTGACTCATGGCAACCTTGTAGGACAGAGTAGAACTGCCCCATAGGGTTTCCAAGACTGTAAATCTATGCAGATTTAGATTTAGATTTAGATTTTTGGACTGCCACATTGTTCTCCCACGGAGCGGAGCAGTTGATGAGTTCGAACTGCTGACGTTTATAGTTGGGGTTTCATGAGGGCTCAGTGATGTGATTGCTGTGCTCTTGCTTGGTAAGCCAGTGTTCTTTATGGTGCAGTTTGTCATTGGACAAGGTGACTTTTTTTTTTTTTTTTTTAAGATAAGTAACTTAGACTCTGAAAGGCAGGAAACTGAGCTTTCTTTGTGCTGAAAACTGTCTCTTGAGGAGATTTAGTCCACTTTATTCTGAGGAATAGTAAGTCTTTCTTCTGATACTTTAAAAAATAAATTGTAACTGTCGAGCCTTTTGTGCTGCGGAAGTGGTACTAAGTTGGTCACAGGGATTTATGGACTCCCGTGGGCAGCACAGCTACACTTCTTTAATTTCTAGGGAGGCTGTTATCAAAGTTTTGCTCTCAGCTTTTGTCTGGGGGGCTTCGCACCACCTTAGCGTGGGCGACACGTTTGAGAAAGGTGTATGTTTATTTTTTAAAAGTGACCAGAGTTGATACAGGGTATCAGATAGAGTTAGCTTAGTAGGCAGTGGTTTAGAACAGAGTTTCAAGTAGAAACTAAGTAAAACTTAGGAGTATAGAGGGGAAATAGCTTGTTTCTGTTTTTTAAGTAGTAGCTTTATTGAGATAGAATTTACATACCATAACATTTACCCTTACATTAAAGTGTACATTCAGTGTTTTCTCCTATATTCGCAGAGTTGTGTAACCTTCATTACTATCTAATTGTAGAACATTTTCAGCAGGGGAGTTAATTTTAGAGCTAAAGTGTAATACTTTTTTTGTATTTTATCTGTGTAACTTCATGGAGCTAATTATAAAAATGCAGAGATGGTATATATATCTTTGGTAGAATAAGTGTTTGTAACTAAGTTTTCATTTAGTAAAATTTTGTAGGAGAAATGGTGTCCATTTGTAATGTTTGGAGCAAATTTATATTGTTTCCAGGAAGTCTTTTTTTGTTTGTTTTAAAACGCCTGTCTGAATGTTCTATCTTCGTCTTTGAGCTCAGTTGAACAAGGTGATTGTGTTTCCATTTTATTTTTCTTTTTTATTCCTTAGAGGTGATTAACTCTTCTTAAATGAAATGGTACTGAAACATTTTTTTTGGAAAAATTATAATTTTATAGATAGAGCAGTAAAAAGTTTAAATAATTTTACCTTTTTCCTGCTTTAAAGCATGCTCTGGTAGCATAGTGGCTAAGACACTTGCCTGCTAACCAGACAGCTGGCGGTTCAAACCCACCAGCCACTCCTCGGAAGGAAGGTTGGGCAATCCTACTTCCGTAGTGATACTGCCTCGGAAACCCAAGGAGGGGCCGACTCGACGGCACATAACAACAACAACAACAACATATGAGTAAGCACAATTTAGGTAATATCTATTCTTAATGAATTTTTTATTTCAGAAATTCTGAAGTGAAACCAAGAGCCTATGAGCCCTGGCATCCTCACTCAGAGAAGATGAAGGATATTGACATAGGAAAAGAATATATCATCCCCAGCCCTGGGTATAGAAACGTGAGCGAGAGAACCAGCACTTCGGGGCAGCAGAGAGAATGTGAAGAGTCCAAGTTCAAGAGAACCCGTCCGGTCAGTTTTCCCTTTCTTAAGAGTCTCTATTCTTATCTGTTATTATACTAGACCACACTTCATTTTCTTTGTATGATGTGTCATTAAAAAGAAATTAGTTTTTCTTTAGTGGCTTTTAAAGGAGCTCTGGTAGCACAATGCCTAAGGCATCTGACTGCTACCCAGAAGGTTGGTGGTTCAAATCCACCAGCCACTCTGCGGAAGGCAGACTGGGCAATCTCCTTCTGTAAAGATTTACTGTCTCGGAAACTCAGTGTGGGTCGCTATGAGTCAGAATCCACTTGATGGCAGTGGATTTGGCTTTTGGTTTTTAGTGGCTTTAGAGGAGCTCTGGTGGTGCAGTGTCTAAGGCATTTGATTGCTAACCAGAAGGTTGGCAGTTCAAACCACCGGGGGCTCCATGGACAGAAGATGGGGCAATTGACTTCCATAAAAATTTACCATCTTTTAAACCCAGTGGGGGTTACTGTGAGTCAGAATTGAGTCAATGGCAGTGGGTTTAGTTTCATTTGATAGTGGCTTTAGGTTGCTTTTCTAAGAATTTAGGGTACTTATAAAGGAGTCACTGATTCATAGTAAGAAGAAGTTGGTTCTCAGCCTCCTACCTATTGCTTCCTTTACATTCTCCACTTTTCTGTTTTTTACTTCAAGAAGCCCTGGTGGCACAGTGTTAAGTGGTTGGCTATTAACCAAAAGGTTAGAGATTCAAGCCTACCCAGCCGCTTTGAGGGAGAAAGATGTGACAGTCTGCTACTGTAAAGGTTACAGCCTTGGAGAAACTATGCAGCATTTCTACTCTGTCCTGTAGAGTTACTATGAGTTAGAATGCACTCAATGGCAGTGAATTTGGTTTGGGTTTAGGTGCCTTCAGGAGCCCTGGTGGCACAGTGGTTAAACACTTGGCTACTAACAGAAAGGTTGGGGAACCCACCAGCCATTTCATGGGAGAAAGATGTAGCAGTCAGCTTGCATAAAGATTTCAGCCTTGGAAACCCTATAGGACTGTAGTTGTGCTCTGTCCTATATGGTTGCTATGAATCAGGATCAACTTGATGGCTAGTGGTACAGTTTGGTGCCTTCTGAAAAGACTATACTTAAGAGGAGACAGCTTAAGGTATGGGAGGGAGGGTGGGCATAGCTTCATTCATATACTTACACAAAATTATTTTTCCTCTGCCTCTCTTGTCTGTGTTTAAAATGTGAATACTTTAAAGAGACTCATTTATATTTCAAATGTTCTTGGAGCAATTCTAGATAGTTATAGGATAATCAGCAAGTTTTTTTTCAAGTAAATCCATGAATGTGAAGGAATCTTTAAATAATGTTATCATTTCTACATTAAAAGCAGAGATATATTATTATAGGGAAATAATAGAGATATATTTTAAACTGGAGGAAATTTTTTTTTGAGGTGAAAAACAACAAAAATTAATACTTTTTTTTTTTTTTTAAAGTAGAAAGGTAACGAAAAAGACAGAATGAAGGTAATTGGATTTAGGAAGTTGAGGTTTGTGTTCATGTATTTGTTAGGTGAAAACTTGAAAATGATAGGCACTTTGCAGCCGACCTTGGCCCCTGACGTTCCATCCCTCTTTGGTGTGTGAAAGCTGTTGCCTTACTAATCAACGTTTTCTCGCTCATGTGTATCATGGAATGCTTTCTCATCCTGGCTTAACTTTGAGGAAACAGATTCATCACAATCAGTGTCAGATCTTTTTTTGGTGCCAGTTTTATAACTTTCTTCATGTCCTTTGGATTAAACCTTATCTTGGTTAAACATTTAATATCTTCCAAGTTTGATTTTTTTTCAAGTGGTAGACTCAGAATGTAACAATTAAATCCAGAAAAAGTCACAGAGGTAACATTAGAACTGGGCCTTAAAGGGTGAATAAATGTTTGCTTTTAGGAGATTCACTGCGAGAAGCTTTTCCAGGCAACAGAAGTAAAGACCCAGAGGTATAGGAAAAATACATGGCGATGGTTACTTACATGTACTTAACAAATACAGTTACTTACATCATCTGTGCCTTAGTGGCTTAGGTGTAAACTGATGATGATAGTAGTACCTAACCTATCAGATCACTGCTGATTGAGTGAGATGATACATATGAAATGTTTAGAATGGTGCCTGGCACACAGTCAAAACTAATGTTAGATCTTAGAATGAGTTGTCTAGAGTGTAAGATATGTAAAAAGTATGGTGATTTAGGGTACATTCTGCCTACTTTGCTAAAGATTCTTTTACTATGAGCATTGTGGAACTATTCAGAGTTATTGAAGGTGTTTTTGTTTTGTTTTGTTTTTTAATTTTTATTTTGAGATAATTATAGATTTACATGAAGTTGTAAAAAAAAAAAAAAAAACTTTCCCCCAGTGGTAACATTTTGCATGCCTGCAGTACAGTATCACATCTAGGATAATGACAGTGATACAATCTATCACCCTCCTTAAGATTTCATCAGTTTTGCAGGCATTCATTCATATGTGTGTGTGTGTGTGTATTTACTTCTGTGCAACTTTTTCATATGACCACTGCCACACTTGAAATATACAACAGGTCCATCCCAAGAACCTCTCATGCTACCCTTTTATAGTGACAGCCACCTCCCTCCTCACCTTCACTCCCCACTAATCTATTCTCCATTTCTGTCATTTTGTCATTTTAGGGATGTTATATATATGAATCATACAGTATGCCACCTTTTGAGATTGGCTTTTTTCACTTAGCATAATTCTCTTGAGATCTATCCAATTTGTTGCATGTATCAGTAGTTAATTCCCTTTTATTTACTAAGTAGATATATTATATTTACTGAGTCCATGTTATAGATGCACCACAGTTTGTTTAACCATTCATCCACTGAAGGACATTTGAGTTATTTCCAGTTTTGGCCTGTTGCAAATAAAGCTGCTTTGCATGTCCATGTACAGGATTTTTTGTGAACATAGTAAGTTCTCATTTCTCTGATATAGACAGATACCCAAGAGAGCAGTTGCTGGGTTGTATGGTGAGTGCTTGTTTAGTTTTGTAAGGAACTGCAATACTCTTTTCTAGAGTGGCTGTACCATTTTACATTCCCACCAGCAGTGTACAAGGGATCCAGTGTCTCTGCATCCTCACCAGCATTTGGTGTTAGCACTATTTTTTTATTGTTAACAATTCTGGTCAGTTTGTAGTACTACCTCGTTGCGATTTTAGTTGGCATTTCTCAAATGGCTAATGAAGTTGAACTGGGGAGGAATTTTTAAGGCTAGATTTTTATCTTAGAAAGTTTGGTCTTAAGGCAATCAGTAAAACCTGGACAAGAGAGAGAAAGAATGCAGGAAGCCAGGACACAGTCAGTAGGCTGCTGTGCCTGTCCGTAATAGAGAGGCCAGGGGTCTGTTTCAGAGCACAGTAGTGGGAATTGGGAAGAAAGGAGAGATTGAGGGGCGTTTCTGGAAGGGGAAGGAGGCTTTGAGGTGCCTGGGATTGGTGGTGATGATTTTAAACTATTAGTGAGCCTATGGGAAGAAAAGGAGAAGTTGAGGAGGTAAGAATGAGTTTGATTTTAAACATGTTGAATTTGAAGTACATTCAGGTAAAGCTATCAGTCGATAGAGCATTGGCAAGAATTAGAGGAGGGAGAAATTTTTTTGCACCCATTGTTGTGTCCACATAGATGAATGAAGCGTTGAGACTGAGCAAGCTTGCCTAGGGCTGGCTTGTAGAGCAGAAAAGGGTTGGAACCTGGCAAACTAGTGTGTGGTCTTGTGAAGTTTTCAGAACAGGGTCCCTGTCCAGTTTGTTAGAGTAGAATTGACATTTGAGTTTGCAGTGGCAACAGCAAGCTTTTCCTGTATAGATGGAGAAGAACCGGAAATAGAGTCACTGCTGTGCCTTTTGTCCTCTAAATCATTAGGTCAGCCACCATGACAACAAATTTCCTCCATGTGATGAAATCCTTATCTTGAAGAAACAGGATGGCTAATACCAATTTTATAAACTTTTTATTGTGGTTTTACAAAACAGTTTACAAAGCAAAGTAGTTTTCCATTCAATAATATATACACATTTTGTTTTCTGACACTGGTTGCGATTTCTACTTTTAAATTTGAGTACTGTTTTCTTGATATTTACCATATCCTTGTGTACCCTCTGAATTTTTTTTTTCCTAGACCTCTGAACTTTTTTTATGTAATATATTTCTTTTATGTATTCACTATTTTGGTCAGCATTGACCTAAGCAGTACAATCATGATTCATGCAACATATTTTATACACATTAAAATGAATGGATAGCTATTAAAATATTTTTCTGAAATCCACATACCACCTAGAGTCTTTTTGCATACGACCTGCCAAAAAACAAAGTTTTTTAGATAAATGTATCTTGAACTTGTGTTTTATGTTTTGTGCTGACAGAGGGAACTAGCAAGATGTCACAAATTTTTCCAGTTCAGAGATAGTAGAAAATTGCTAATTTAAGTAGTCGGGAGTTGTTTTTTTTTTTTTTTTTTTTCCTTAAGCAAGGCGTGGTAGAAATTGCAGTTTTATGTCACATAATCATAACCATCATATCAATTGTTTTAGAGGAAATCTGGGACAGGAACTCCCAGATGCCAAGTGTGCTTATTATCCATCAAAAATAAAAAACAGTACCTCGAAGGAACAAAAGATAAGGCTAAATCTGTGGCTCTTAACTGGAAAATAAGGTTTAATTTACCACCATTAATATGCTGGGGAGCTCTGGTAGCATAGTGCTTAAGGCATGTAACTGCTAACCAGAAGGGTGGCGGTTCAAACCCACCAGGCACTCCTTGGAAGGAAGATTGGGCCATCTACTTCCGTAGTGATACTGCCTCGGAAACCTAAGGAGGGGTCGCTGTGAGTTAGATCTGACTCCACGGCAGTGAGTTTGGTGTTTTTGGTTTATTCATATCCTGATAAGTCCAGTTAACATGGAAACTTGAAGTTGTATCAAACAGAAGTCAGAAGCAAAGCACCAAGGCACAACTTC